GTTTGGACCATCTAAGCTGACTGACATCAACTTGCTATAATTTCTGTTTACATTACATCGCAATTCGATGACACTCTGGCTCAGACACCAGAATGTTTTGACGATTTTTAGCATTCGTTTAGATTTTCAAACAACCTGGTCTCTTTTAAAATACTTTTAATTTGTTCTTACGTGGTTTTCCAGATGTAGTGACGACAACATTAAAGTTTAAAGAAGAAAATTCTAACATTTAAACCGACTAAACAATAACATAGTAAACTTGCATAATTAAACAGCAACTAAAAATGATAGGTTTTACTAAATCTTTTCCTGTGCAATTATTACTAGCATTGGAGACAAGGATAATAGCTTGTTTGAAAGAGAAAAGAACAGGCTTTGAAGTAAGCCTAAAAGCGTTTAACTAGAGATAGTATTTCGAAAGTTATTAAGCACAAAAGATGAATTGCGTTTATTTTGATACACCCTGTATATATATATATATATATATATATATATATATATATATATATATATATATATATATATATATATATAATATGTATAACCAACAATAATGAGATGATGGATGTGGGACACATAAATTATATATACGACAAGAACGCCATTCAACCTAATACGCATGATCTCTGCATGTCACAGATTTAAATCAGCGCAAAGGCCTATAGGCAATTGTGCCCCAAGCTCACTACCAGCAACTGCGAACAGCTGTTTCGCCCTTTTGGGGCTCATCAGCGCAGTGTAGCTGATAGTGAGCTTTTCATCCGAAAAGTATTTATACAACCAACAATGAGATGATGGATGTGGGACACATAAATTATTATATGCGACAAGAACGCCATTCAACCTAATACGCATGATCTCTGCATGTCACAGATTTAAATCAGCGCAAAGGCCTATATAGGCAATTGTGCCCCAAGCTCACTACCAGCAACTGCGGACAGCTGTTTCGCCCTTTTGGGGCTCGTCAGCGCTGTGTAGCTGATAGTGAGCTTTTCATCCGAAAAGTATTTATACAACCAACAATGAGACGATGGATGTGGGACGCATGAATTATATATACGACAAGAACGCCATTCAACCTAATACGCATGATCTCTGCATGTCACAGACGAGCCCCAAAAGGGCGAAACAGCTGTCCGCAGTTGCTGGTAGTGAGCTTGGGGCACAATTGCCTATATAGGCCTTTGCGCTGATTTAAATCTGTGACATGCAGAGATCATGCGTATTAGGTTGAATGGCGTTCTTGTCGTATATAATAATTCATGCGTCCCACATCCATCGTCTCATTGTTGGTTGTATAAATACTTTTCGGATGAAAAGCTCACTATCAGCTACACTGCGCTGATGAGCCCCAAAAGGGCGAAACAGCTGTCCGCAGTTGCTGGTAGTGAGCTTGGGGCACAATTGCCTATAGACCTTTGCGCTGATTTAAATCTGTGACATGCAGAGATCATGCGTATTAGGTTGAATGGCGTTCTTGTCGTATATAATAATTCATGCGTCCCACATCCATCGTCTCATTGTTGGTTGTATAAATACTTTTCGGATGAAAAGCTCACTATCAGCTACACTGCGCTGACGAGCCCCAAAAGGGCGAAACAGCTGTCCGCAGTTGCTGGTAGTGAGCTTGGGGCACAATTGCCTATAGGCCTTTGCGCTGATTTAAATCTGTGACATGCAGAGATCATGCGTATTAGGTTGAATGGCGTTCTTGTCGTATATATATTCATGCGTCCCACATCCATCGTCTCATTGTTGGTTATATATATATATATATATATATATATATATATATATATATATATATATATATATATATATATATATATATATATATATATATAATATATATATACTATATATATATATATATATATATATATATATATATATATATATATATATATATATATATATATATATATATATATATATATATATATATACTCTGGCCCCATTACACTCTGCGCATGTCTGGATGCGTTGATTCACCGTGTTGTACCACATGCCTTGATGAGAGCAAGTTCATGGGGTATAAATACGATTGTCTCGCGTATCTAGACGTGTACCAAGCTGCACTGACGAGGCGTTGAACGCCGAAATATAAATTTACAATAAGTATGCTAATGTAAATAAAAACATGCAAAACATGCAATTGATTTATTGTCCCGTAGTTTAAAATACTATACAATGTTAATAGATTAAAATAATTCAAACACTAATTGTTCTACGTACCAGTACAACCGTTCAAGCATTTGAAATACAAAAGCCGTCTGGAGACTTGATGAACGGTTGTACTGGTAGAACTATTAGTGTTTGAATTATTTTAATCTATTAACATTGTATAGTATTTTAAACTACGGGAATCATTCGCATGTTTTGCATGCTTTTATATACATTAGCATGCATACTTATTGTAAATTTAGTATTTTAATTAGTTTTATATAAATAAGAGGAAATATTATTGTAAAACATTCCACTGAAGAAGCCGTAATAGGCGAAACGTTTGGAAAATATACTTTGTGTATTTTTATGTCTGAAAAAATCTTATAAGCCAAGTTCATATATATATATATATATATATATATATATATATATATATATATATATATATATATATATATATATATATATATATATATATATATATATATATATATATTATGTTATTGTTCACTCGGTAGTACGATAAGGAGAAAATGTATATACAGCTAATTCAAAGCTCTATAGACAGCTAATTGAACCTTAAGCTTTTAACCTTAATCTCCAAGCGTGAAAACGACAATGGGAACACCTAGTGTTTGCCATGTTTAGTCAGAAAAACGTAATTGTTATAATCCTTGCATGTGCATACAGCCAACATTTACGATGGATGATAAGCTTGCTATTACCGGCCGCACGTGGTATAATACGACGGTATCAACCCATCAAGCGCACGTTGTATAATGCCACCCACGCAGTATAATAAGACAGTATCAACGCATCCACTCAGTGGAATAGAGCCAGAGTGCTCAAACGAGGGAAAGGAAAGTGAGCTTTGCATTATCGCTAATATACAGCCATATATGCGCATTTGTATATATAAGAACTGCAAACATGGGCTTATATACAACTGCACTTTAAATTAAAAAGAAGCCCTGTTTGAAATGTAGGGCACCATAATTTGCAGATAATATTCGATAGCGTAGTGCGCCTAAATCTTTGACTTATCGAGGCATGAGGATAAGAGCCAGAACGTCTGCCGAGACAAAATTAAATGATACGATCTATACAGTACTTTGCTATAGTAGCCTACGTGTCAATTTGTTTTTAAATATTTTATCGATTTAAAAAAAAAAAATTCTTCGTGTCTTTCTGGATGTTTACGATGGAGCGGCTTTTTTTTAACCACGTATCGATGTTAATCATATAAACCTCTCCAAACAGCTGTTATACAGTATCAGTCTTTCTATGATGTTCACGAAAGCGGCAACTGAAAAGTTTTAGGTGAGTTTGTTCTAACTTATATTAAAAACCATCTTCTTAATTAAAGGGGCCCTACAGTAATTTTTTACTCGAAAATCCACCTTAAGTAGAGGACTCCACGGAGATTCGTTTGGCTTATCTTACATGCAGTATCCATGAGTATGAGTACTTCCGCACACCGGAAGACGCATGCATGCCGTGGTACGTGCGCATGTCAAGTAGCGACAATAACAAAAAATGTAAACAATACTTAAGGTGGCGTTTGGACTAAAAAATGACTGTAGGGCCCCTTTAATTAAGTAAATTTTTGTCACAGTCAAACGAGCGACAACATCGGGTTGAATAGACTTTTCCCCTTATGAGTGAAATTTTGATCTAGACAAGTCTAGACAAAAATATCATCACAGCTTGAAAGAGCATCACAAAATTAGTAATATTCCGACGTTTCGTTGCAAAATGTTGTAAAATGAGGATATTATAGCCTTGCGAAGTTTGCCGTTTTTCAGTCATTTTGTATTACAAATGGGAAATTGATAATCAGTTTGATCATCTGTGCCGTTTTCTTTCATCTTTTCAGTTTTCAAGGTTCAAACGGCAATGGCATCATTTGGAGAAGTGCTAGATTTTTGGAGAGCACTTAGTCTATCCGAGATAGTGCATGATATTAGTATTGGTCCTAATATTTATAGTTCTGGGCAATACTACGGTATTGGTTGGGACTTGGAAAGAAAGTAGTCTCCATCAGCCAAATAAATATTTTATTGCTTGTCTGGCTGTTGCTGATCCTTTGGATGGGATGACTGTGATCCCAATTCGGTTATATGGACTTGTCATAGATAGAAGGAATGAAGAAATTACGTTACTTTATTCATCTTTGCCGTTTTTACTTTCGGATAGATGCATTTTTTAGAAACAGCATCAATATATACCCTCACCTTCATCAGTTCAACCGACAGAGCCGCTGAGAGAGGGGGGGGGGTGGGCGGGGGCAAATTGCCCCGGGCCCCGAGGTGCTGGGGGGCCCTGAAAATTTTTTGTCGGGCCCCAGTCTTTTTCGAGTGTTAAATATTTCCGCGCAAAGGACAAGATATCTGTTTTTTTGGGCCTAGTATCGAATTGTGGCATAAAAAACGAGATAAAGTCCCTGGAAAGCAATTGCAACGTACTCGTCTGAAAAAATTGCTGTACCCCTAAAATGGTACACTGACCGAAATTATTTTGTCGACGGCGGGGAGGGAAAGGCTGTCCTCCGAAACAAAATTTTTCCCGAAAAATTTTTTAGATAGGGGCCCCTAAAAAAAATTTCCCCCGGCCCCCCGCCAACCTCTCGGTGGCCCTTTCGACCGATATCTGAAAATTAACCAGCCACGTGCACTTCCAATGAGTTCGACTATGCCATATTATAAATAAAATCTTTCATACTTTTGTTGCTGTTGCCGCGTTTTTTCAACCTATCACAATCATGCTGGTTATGTAAGTTCTTATTTTTCATGCTGTTCATAAACGGCAAAAAATGCTGCGAAATGGTGAACTAGGGCGAAGTGTGAGTAAAAAGCTGGAAAGACGAGTTACATTGAGCGAAGACAAAGGCGCCGAAGCAAAAGACCAGAACGACATGCATCACTACGAATTGGATAATGCCAATAAAAACGAAATCATCGATAACTCCCTAATAGTTGATGAAAGCCAAAGAAACGAATTCATTACGGATCAACACCAAAACGAATTAAGACGGTGTAGTTCGGAAATATCAACCCAATGTGATGCAGATATAAAACCATGCCATTGTACTGAATTTGCCGAACAATTCAAGCGCATCGAGAGAGACATTGAAAGTCTAAAAAACAGACTAGAAATTGATGAGGGAGAAGAAATTGTGTTGGCCTATAATACTGGCACATGTCTAAAGGAAAAGGTTCAACTAAGAAATAATTTGGAAAGTGCTAACGCAAAAATAAAAGATTTAGAGGCGAAAATTGAGTTGCTTGTATGTGAGAAGAAAAGCCTGACGACGGCAATTAGAATAATCCAAGAAGACAATAGCCAACAAAATAACAATAACTGTATTGAAAAACAAGAAAGCCCGTGGGTTAAAGTTGAAGATAAACAACTTAAGAAAAAGAAAAAGAAGCGTAAACATCGTGAGGCCAAGAAATCGCCACAACACACTGCTGCAAAATCGGAAGAACATTTGCCACAAATATCAGAAGAAACACAAATTGTTCAGGCTAACGACATATTAAATGACCAGACGAGAGTCAAACAAAAGAAAGACGACCCTGTCGGAACGAAAACCTACAAGAGCACTATGTCTACAGTGTCAGTTGTGGGCGACTCCATGATTAAACACATTAATGGATATAAAATGTCAAAGGCAAACACTAAAGTCCGAGCTCTCCTTTTGCCGGGTGTACTACGCAGTATATGGCAGACTATATCAAGCCTATTATCCGAAAGAAACCAAATAAGCTTGTCCTACACGTCGGCACAAATAACCTGAAGAATTGCGAGAACCTCACGACTTGTGCCAAGGATATTATCAACTGGGAAAATCAATTAACAGGTCTATACCAGAAACCAAGATAATTATATCAGGCCTAATCACCATAGCTGACGAAGAGATATTGGTATCTAAAGTCAACGAAGTTAATGCAATGCTAAAGCAGTCATGCTTGGAAAAAAACTGGGCATTTATTGAACATGACAACATCACTTATCAACACTTAAACAAGAGTAAACTTCATTTAATCAAACAAGGAGAAAGTTTATTGGCATGCAATTTTATAAACCATATATATGACAGGAGCCATTAGGAATTTGCCGTGTGGGTATCGTTTGTTAATAATACTGATGTACAACCAAGAATAGATGAGAGAAACTCAACCAATTTGGGTGAGTTAAACGAGTCTAATAATATCTCTAATTTAACTTATACAACAAACACAATACCATCCCATCGTGGTATGGCAATTGCATGTTTAACTATAAATAGTCTCATTGCCCACATAGATGAATTGCGAATATTTATTAGCGATGCAAAAATTGACATACTATGTGTAAATGAAACCAAACTCGACCCTTCAATCAATGATCGGGAGGTATATTTAGCTGGCTATGAAATTGTTAGAAGGGACCGAAATGTAAATGGACGCAATGGTGGGTGTGTGTGCACTTATATTAGGTCTAACATAAACTACCAAGTTAGAGATGATTTGAATTCTGCAACTCTCGAAAATTTGGTATAGTGGAGATAAAAAAACAGCGATCTAAGTCTGTTTTAGTCAGTACTTGGTATAGACCCCCTGACTCACCAATGAGTCAATTTATTGAATTTGAAAAACTGATTGGGTCATTTGATGCCGAAAACCTGGAGTATTTTCTTTTGGATTATCTAAATGTTGACCTTATTTCAACAACTGCATCACTAATAAAAAATAAATTAAAAGAGATATTAGATATTTACGGTATTAAACATTTGATTAATGAACCAACCAGAATTACGTTATCATCTAGAACCCTGATTATTTATTTATTTTTGCCAACTAGGGCAGGGTCACCACAACAGCATATGCCAATTACTGTGGGCCCTTTTTTTACCTAACCCACCCTGTCAACTTTCCCTGTGGGAGGAAACCGGACTACCCGGGGAAAACCCACGGCTTTCGGATGAGCGTTGACTTTTACTCTTTTCACATGGGGACTGGGTTCGAGTCGCACTGAGAAGGTAGTTAGTGAGATTCGAACCTGCAGCCTCAGAGGTGAAAGGCAAGTGCGCTAACCACTTGGCCACCGAAACCCCACTGATTGACTTATGTCTTATAAATACACGTTCTCATGTTGTAGATGCTGGAGTCTTATCCCTGTCAATAAGCGATCATTCATGGATTTATGCAATTGGTAAGGCTTGCTATGTACAAGGGGTACCAAAACCGGTACATATTAGGTCAATGAAGCAATTTAATAGAGAACACTATTTACGAGATCTTGAACAAAAAATTGGCACAATGTTTATTGTTCTGCGGACCCTAATGTGATGTGGAAAATTTGGAAAGAAAACTTAATGAGCGCAATTGAAAAACATGCACCATTGAGATCCAGGCGGGTTAAAAATCGGAAGTCCCCTGGATAACAAAAGAATTAAGACAAAAGATACGACATCGTGTTAGTTTAAAAAAGAAAGCGAATTTATCTAATGATCCTCAAATTTGGCAGCAATACGAACAGACTCGAAACCGAATAAACATTGAAATTAAGGAAGTTAAGCGAAATTATTTTACAAATAATCTTGATCTTCATAAAGGTGACATGAAAAAAACATGAAAATTAATTAACGAATTAATTTCCAAAAATATTGGCAAGACAAATAGAGTGTCAGAATTAAATTTTAATAATCAAGAAATAACAGCACCTATGGATATTGCTGAAGCTTTTAATGACTATTTTTCGAGTGTTGGTGACAACTTGGCTGCATCTATACCAACCCCTGACCATGATCCGAGCTTTTATCTTAAAGCAACGGATAAGATATTTTCATTGCAATCTCCTACCTTTGAAACTGTTTATAAATTCTTAAGTAAAATTGATGAGAAAAAAGCTGTTGGGTTGGAAATATACCCAACAAATTATTGAAAATGGCTGCACAGGTGGTTGCACCTTCACTGACGGGAAATTTTTTGCATCAATACGTACAGGAATATTCCCAAACAAATAGAAGGCAAGCAGGGTGACACCAATATTCAAAAGTGGTCCTAAGAGTAATCCAAGCAATTACCGACCAATTTCCATTATTCCTGCCATTGCAAAAATTTTTGAGAAAATTATTTCTGACCAATTATATATATGAATACCTAAACACAAATGAGATTTTAACTTCCTGCCAAGCTGGCTTTAGATCGCTACACAGTACGGTAACTGCAATGCTTGAAGCCACAAGTGACTGGTCCATGAATATTGACAATAGTTTAATCAATGGAGTAGTTTTTATTGATTTAAAAAAAGCTTTTGACACTATCAATCACCAAATTATGTTACAAAGCTAAGGAACTATGGTATTGAACACATGAGTCTAACCTGGTTTGAATCTTATCTTACCAACCGAACTCAAAAGTGCCGTGTTAACGACCAATTGTCAAATTCTGCCCCGGTGACTTGTGGTGTTCCCCAAGGTAGTAACCTGCTTGAATCATGCTATACCTAGAATGTTCGCTGATGACACGAGTATAAGTTATTCAGCAAACACAATAGGTGAGCTTCAAAATGTAATAAACTCTGAATTAAAAAAGCTTAATAGCTGGCTTATTACTAATAGATTAAGTCTAAATATTGTTAAAACGGAGTTTATGGTAATAGGATCTCAGCAAAATTAAGGTCCATAGATAGCGAAATAAATATTAGAGTCAACGAAAATGAAATAACTAGGGTTGAATCGGTGAAATCCTTTATATTGATAAACATCTTACTTGGCATGATCATATTGATAAACTATGTAAGAAAGTTGCATCTGCTATTGGTGCACTAAAGCGTGTTAGATCGTTTATAACTATAGACGCATATCCATACAAATGTACCAAGCGCTCATTCAGCCTCATTTCGACTATTGCTGCACGGTATGGGATAGCTTTGGGGAAACACTCAGTACTAAATTACAAAAATTGCAAAACCGAGCAGCGAGAGTCATCATGAGATCAAGTTATGATAACGACGCAAGTGCATTATTAGATAGTCTGCGTTGGGATAACTTGTCATTAAGACGACAAAAACTTAAACTTGGTCTTATGTTTAAAACACTTAAGAGTAATGCTCCCAGTTATTTACAAGAATTCTTTTCCATTCGCGGAACTGGGTATAACCTAAGAAATTCTGAAATGAGGCTGAACTTGCCTAAGTCACGAACAAATTACTTAAAACGAAGCTTTTGTTATAGTGCTGCACTATTGTGGAATAGCCTTCCTCAAGAAATAAGAAAGCTTCAAACACAGGCTAAATTTCAAAAAGCTGTTAATAAGTATTTCGACGAATAAACGAGCCCCCACACGGTAATCTTGTAAACCAATATTAGTACTAGAAAATACATGCATGCAAAAACCCTCGCCTTGCTGACAAAACCATTGTATTTTCCGAACATGAAGTATCTAAAGTAGTTGCCATGGTAACACGATAATTTTTTAAGAATATTCGGTAATCGTTCTTACAAATGAAAAATCGCTTAAAAATATCACTTTTAATTACAAAATTATCAATTTCCCAACATATATATGTTAGGTATGATATTATACGCTTCGCAAAACGTTTTAAAGTGTTCTTTATAAAACTAAACTGCCTTTAATGAAATGGCTTTATCGATAAACTTTGAGTTTGCAATAAAATGATTTCAAATCCTAGCACGCAAATAACTTTGCTTTCTTTTTTATTTAAAAAAATTCAATATAATAAAAAAGGGAATCAATATTACAGATACACTGAATTGGGGCCCGATATGCTGTCTTGTTTAGTTGTTTCATATACGCAAAGGCCGTCGGGTTTTAAAGCAATTATAAAATCAATATTTAAAACAAACTTACCTTCGTTAACGTCGGCTCCCTTCTTTTAGCCGATTCTTTCGCCATTTCTTTCTTGAAATTAACAAAATCTTGCAAAAATGCGAGCAAAAATGAAATATATTTGCAAGAAATTCATCAATCATTAAATAAAGAAATGTTTTCTATTTCGCTGTCGTCATGCAGTCGTTATAATGCAAACTTTAAATTGGACCAATCACAGTGTTTGCTATTCATGACAGTCCGCCATATTTTTGAGATCAGTGAGGATGATCACCCACGGTTGGTGACCCACGCCCGCGATATTTGATGAACTTTAGACTTCGCTAATGCTTTCGTTTCCCCGGGTGTAAATAGCCGGGGGGAATTAGTACTCTCGCACGGCGCTTCGCGCCGTCGGCTCGGGGATTAGTATTAGTTTATTGTCTTTATTGTAACTACTGTAGATTTTACCGTGTATAAATAAATTGTATAATAATAATAATAATAATTTCCAATTATCCGAACCAGCGAACTGCCTTTCGTCAAGATCTGAAAGTGATCCGCATGTTGGTCGTTGTTGCGGGAGTGTTCGTATTAGGGAGCTTTAGCAGCGACTACGAGTACGACTAAGAGTGCCAGATTTGCTCGCGTGCTAGGAAATCACCGTAGTCGTTCTCGTTTCCGTTCAAATGTTGCTGTTATAGTAGCAAACAAACAACGAAAGAAAAAGTTTCTATAAACTAAATCTCCTGCAGGCCAAAATCTCCTACAAAATGTGCAAATATGAAATGAGTCATAACATTAAAAACAAGTCAGATATTTAATACT